CCGAGTCAAGATCTTTGGGTGGTAAGGTGCAACCAACCAATTTGCATACACCAGTCAACCATTGCTGTCGATGGAGAGCGGCAGCACACAACTCACTGTAAACCCTATGGTGGATGGCTGCATTTTGGATGGCAGCTTGCTTAGCGACCAAATCAGCCCTGCGATTGTTGAGAATATCCAGAACAGTTGTTCCGTGGTCCTGCGCCACGGCGGGAGTAAGGAGAATGTCAGGAATCTCTTCAGCAATATGTGCAGGGACCCACACGCAATCAAGAGGTTGCTCGCAATTTTGTTTTCGTGCAGTGACCAAGGCACACAAAAACTTCCACCACGGTTGAAGCGGCCATGAGTCTTCAATGGTGTCCTTTTGTATCACAAAACGAACTTGATCTGCGACGGTCTTGCAATCCGTGCGAACCTGGAGGGGTCCTGAGGCTGACGAAAAAGCAACAATCAAGGCCCACAACTCTGCAGTATAGCTGGATAAATTCCAGTGGTGGACCGAGCCCTTACAAAGTGTGGAACCGTCATGGTTGATTACCGCAAAACCTGCACAAGTCAACAGGAAATGATTCGGCCATTGAACCGATCCGTCAGTCCAAACAGTACAGGAAGGGATCGAAGGGTCCCACGGTTGCAGAACAAGTTCGTTGGGGTCTGAAACTTGCAATCTCTGAGCCAACACAGAGAGGGGATGTTCCACGATGCCCAAAAGCTCAAAATTGGGTCCAAGCTCATGGACGGGAGGTGGGTGGTGGATATCACGTATTCCCTGGCACTCACGAACGAGATGAGGCAATGACTCTTTGGGGTGGTCGCAGAGACGGCAATTGGCATCAGGGATTCGCTTTGCAGCAGCTAAACGATCTTTTGTCAACACACAGCCAACTAGTTGTGCTTCGAAATAGGCACGATTAGGAATATCGTCGGTTTCAGCTTCAGAGGTCCTAGAAAAGGAAGTAGACAGCCAAAAGTCAAGAATTCCGGTGGGTGGCCTTAGATCTTTCCTACTCTGTTGGCTTGCCAATGTGTAGCATACCTGCCGGGCAAGTTGCTGAAGGACAGGTCGAATATCTCGAGGCGAAAGCTGCTCAAGGCGGCAAAGAGCACTGCCATTATATTCCAGCATGCCATCATTGCTCAATCGCAGGCCGAAGAAATGAAAAGCATCTTGGAGTCTGCTGGTCAGGGCACCTTTATGTTTATTCGGGTTCTGTAGAAGTTGATGAAACCTGCTCCATTCTTCAGGGAAGAGGTGCAAATATCTACAAACGTCAAGAATGGCATTGTATTGCCTTGCACATCCAGGCTCAACCCGATGGGGCTTGCACAAAAAGGCAAAAACCAAGAACTTAGCCCGCCAGTGCGGTCTGTTGTGCCACAAGGTTGTCACGATTTCACCTTGTATCCGAGCAAGGGCACGAGCGGAAATGTTATTAATGGCAGCATTATAGGTGCATTGCGGGATTACTTTAGCACCAATAATCTTGGCTTTTTGTGCTGTCGTGATGGGAAGGCAGGCAATGTTCTTAACGTCAGCGATTATCTTGGCCACCTTATCTTCGGAAAAATGTGAAGTGGTTCGAAAACTTGTCTGGATGTGAACGCCTAAAACCTCAAGTTCGAATGCAAAGCGCATATTGGGAAAGAGTTGTTTAATGCATTTCCGTGCATCAGTGGAAGTTCCCCAAATTGTGCACTTGGCCCAGTTCATTTCCTGGCCAACGAGGGCATCCCATGTTTGGGTGATGCGGATTGCCTGGAACAAATCATCTTTGTGGATGAGGCGAGCCCACAGGTAGGCGTCGTCAACAAAGGCTTGGGCAGTGACATTGGGTAGCACGGCCAACAAGTGAACCCATGCTTTCATGTGGACATTAATGGCGATGAGGGACAAGCTACAGCCTTGTGCAACCCCATTGGGACCATGAGTAGCGAGCGGTTGAACCCATGACTTGTACGAAAGGTGTTTTGACAGCCCTTGGTACAGCTTCAAAAACATGGAAACTATGCACTGTGGCACACCAAAAGCAAGCATGAGCGCACCCGCATACTCAGGAATGATGCGGTCGAAGCACTTGGCTTTATCTATCTTGACTCCGATGAGGTCACACTTGTGGTTGCGCATGTGTTCGAGCGAAAACGCAAGTTGGGTGTGTATAGCAGCCATGTGCCTTTGTGGAATGCCTCCTTGAAGCTGAATGGGCATAATGTGCATTTGCCACTGACGGAGGTGGATGAAGCGTGCACCAGTATAAGCAAGAAGGATGACCGGCAAAAGTGTGATGAGGCGTTTCTGCAAAGGTTCCGAACTGCCGTTCTTATTAAGAATGACTTGTCGGGCCGTAGCCAACACACGAGGGAGTGGTTCATTGCTGTCTTCAAGGCGGCGGAAGAAGGCAGCAAACCAATCGAAGCAACCTTGTGGCAACAACTGCATTTCCCCGGTTCGCCACCCATCAAGGCCTGGTGCGGCATGTTTTTTCCGATGTTTTACCACTTGATATAGATCTTCCCCTGAAAGGGTAGGAACTTGGTAGTCAAGGTGGAACTTGTGAATATGTGGCCACACAATGTCTAACATCTTCAAGGCATGAGGAAAACCAACGTTGGCACTAAACACAGGGTCCCATTGACTATTGATCTCCAGGAGCGCAGCTTGGGGATCGAAAATGGCATTACCCTGGGAGTCCACAACAAGGTTGGCCGGCTCAGTGGAAGCCTTATTCTTGAGATGCTGGAATAAAAACCCGGATCCACATTTGGCAGATTCTTGGATTTTCCCTTGCCAAGTTCTAATGCGCTTTAGTTTGATCTTGATTTCATTGACTGCAATGCGGTCTTGGACCCACTGGATGGCAACGGTCACATCGACAAGGGTAGGTCTCCGGGACGCCGGCCAAAGGCAAGGGGCTCGCAGCCTAGCCAAACGGTTCCAAACACGAACAAAAGTGCGATGTTGAATCCACTTTCGGTTGGCACTATTGAGATTTTGTGAAAGGAAGATCTCAATTTCTCGGAGTCCCCCAAGGGCGTTGTACAGCCAAGAACAGTAGAGTGTGGTGGCTTGTCCAGGCTTAAGCTGGCCAGGGCACACTCGCTTGGGGCGAAACTGAATGGGTTGACCTCGAGTTTGGGGGCCAGATCCCCAGGTAGCACCTTGATCAAGCATGGTTTGAATGCAGGCCGTGTTGACTTTTCCCCAACAAACTTCAATGTCATCCTGTTGAGACCATGGCACGGAGTTATTCTGTGCGGTTTCAAGTTCCGGTCGAAAGCCCTGCAAATTGAAAGGGGCAGTCTTGAACAACGTGAACCCTGTTTGCCAAATACGCTCCCATGACATGGTAAGTCGAATAGGACGGTGTTGGACTTTGAAGTGAGCAAGGACCTCGGCATCAACAATCGCCGAGGATGCGACACGGTTGGTAAGGATGGCGTCAATGCTTGAACATCCGTCCCCAAAACCCGGAAAGGTGCCATTGGCTGAGAACGTGATTGGTCTATTTGGGGATTGATCATTGTGCTGATCAATGGGGTCACTCCATTGATGAAAGTTGATGGCATTGGCCACAGCTTCGTACTGAAGGGGTTCAGTTTGGAAGTCCCCTGCGATCAGGACCGGAATGTCCCCAAACTGACTAGCAATCGCAAAAATATCCGAAAGCATTTCATTGTTTGCACGGAGAACATCTTTGTCCTGACTGGCAGCAGTTTTACAATAGATATTGAAGACCAGGGCTTTGAGCGAAGCGGTGATTTGCACCCACACAGCTTGGACCCTCTTGGTGTGGAAAAGACGTTCATACTTTCCGGAGACATCCTCATTAACAGAGAAAGGGATGGTGGTTTCTGCAGGTGCGGCAATCCCGACACCGCCATGAGGGGTGCGCAGAACACCGTTGGAAGCAAAAAGACCTGGAAGCAAGGCACCAGGAAACAAGGACTTCCCCGTTTGTGCAACTACATGCTTAGCATTGTTAATGCAGTTCTTCCCAATGCGAGTTTCTTGAAGGCAAGTGATGGCTGAGTCCCACGTTTTCCAACAAGTTGCAGTCTTGATGGAACCAATGTTTGCCGAAAAAATCGACCAGGGATGGCGATGTGTGGGGCCTTCACCAGGGTAGCCTAGTGTCGAATCGAAAGCGAGGACCCTATGATGATAGTGCGAAAAAGCAAGCTGCAAAATGCAGACACATGTGGAACAACCACTCAAACCCTTGAGGTGGGAGTGGAAAACGCGAAGAAAAAAAGCGATCGAGCTGCTTGCAATAAAAGCAGGCGCAATGTTTTCGACAGTGAGCGGTCGGTCTGTTGAAAGAGCTGCTGACACATCCCCAAGGTGAATTAGAAATTGGGACTTTTCCGGCAGGGCAAAGCGGGAGCAGACGTGCTCTGCAGGGCAAGTCCAGCCCACGGACGCATGAACGTACGAAAACCAGAAAGACAAAGACGAAGCACTTGAGAAGCGTCAAGGGGCGAAGCATTAGCGGAGCTCGATTCAGCTCGCAAGATAGAGAGATGGAGAAAATCCAAAGGTCAACCGGCGACAAACGACATTGATGAGCCCACGGCAGCATGCCCAAAGCCGGACAAGGCAGAGAACCGCAACTGAAGGACCACAAATCGACAACAAAGGGCCTTCGCCGGAGACAGGCAAGAGGGCAGGCTGCCCCGAGCTTTCACAGTGTTCGCTGTGTTTTGGGTGGAGGTGACTCACCCGTGGGCTCGTGTGCTCGGTTGGTGCTGAGTTGCACCAGTTGGCGTAATGTGTCGCCAATGTCATTGAAGCGCTGGTCGAGCTTGCTCTCGAGGTTCGTTTGCTTGTGCTCGATGCCGCAAACTTGCTTTTGAAGCGTCTCGAACTTGTTCTCGAGATGATCCAGGCGCTTCTTGTCGTGTTGTGCTGCTACGGCTGCGATGGATGTGACAGCAGGAGGGAATGGTTCATCCTCCTTGGTGGCTGTCTTCTTTGGGTTCCGGTTTTTCCTTGCCGCCACCTTTGGTCATAGGTGGAGTAGGCGTCAGCAAGATCTGGTGAAGGGCGCCGTTGATCTTGACCGTGAAGGTCAGAACAGTGGGCATTGCTTGGAAGCCCAATTGCCACGTATGGACTCCCGCTGCTCTGAACGTTCGTGTAGGAATCGGAGCTTGGCTGACAGCTTTTGCGACTGTTTCAATCACGTCTGTGGGACTGGCACCAGGAGGCCAGCCCGAAGCATCCACCATAAAACGAGGCACCACCTTGATGTTGGTGTCATTGAGGCGAGCATCCATAGGCAGAAGCTTCCGCCGAACTTCAGCAATCTCGCTGGACCATGCACGAACGGCTAAGCTGCGTCTTGTGAGGATTGCTCCAGCGGCACCCTTGACACCCTCAATACTGATGGAAAGCTCACGAAGGCCTTTCAAGCTGATCTCCCAAAATTTGGGAATGACAGAAGTGTCGAGCGGTTGAGCACCTTGATCCAAGAAATCCCTGACCAGGATGCCTTGAAGGCCACTGCCGGACAACAGCTTGCATCTGGCCGCGGATGGAAGTTTTGCGATCACCTGCAATTGGTCGTCGTCCCGAGATGAGGAGGGGTGGCGGTTGTGCCTGAAGCCGTACACGGACGTCAAGGCGGCATGGTCTGGGGCCGCGGTGGAGAGGTACTGCTTGAAGTAGAGAATCGGGTTCTCTTTGGCTTGCTCAAATTCACTCTTCTGAACCAATCGTGAATCCAACTCGAGCACTAACTCGGCAACTTCTGACATGGTGAATTCGTGTGTTGGTTCACACAGCTTGAATTGGAATTCACCAAAAAGGGCGACTGCTGACACAACCCTTCTGTAGGAGGTTTTGGTGGCACGGTCCTCCAGCACAACCTCGAAAGGGCCGTGGAAGTTGAGGTTGCTGCCGGCTTTTGTTTGCTGGTCCACAAGAGGCAGGATCGCTATGAGAGGTTGCTTGGGTCCAAGTTTCAAGAGCTCTGGCAAGTGTTGCTTGGTCGTCAAGACCACTCCCTTTGTGGTGGTGGAAGTCTGAAGTCTGTGGTACTGTGCCAATTGCTCTCCTTTGCTGTCTTGGAATGGGTGATGGTCCTCCAACTTGAGGTCCTCCCATCGTGAGGAGGCTGCTGCGGCTTTCGCCCAAGGATCATGAACAAGCAGAGGATCTGTACCTGATCGCTGACTGTTCTTGGCCTTGGCAGCGGCCTTGGCTTCTCCACCTCCTCCTGGTGCTTGGACATTCGGAAAGCGGCCCTGAAGAACTTGAAGGAGGTGCCACGGGAGGAGTCTCATGGCAAAGAGTGCAGCTTGATGAAGGATCGGCTGTTGCCAAGCAGCAGCAGCATTGGTGAGCACACGTTGGACCTCAGCATGGTGGATGCTTCGCAGGAAGTGTGTTTCCTGGACCGGACCAGGGTAATGAATCAGGACACCAGCCTTTTGAAAGCACAACCAAAGCAAAGTCCAGCCACACAGGTTTGGATCCGCTTGAAAGTCACGAAAAAACGATGTGCGGAACGGGGTCAATCCCGAGGTGCTCGCAAATGGCAGTAGCACACGCAATCGAGTGGGGCCGGAGATTGGGAGGACCGGTAAGGAAAATCCATTGCGCACACACGGTGGATTGGATTTCGCAGAGGACCCAATGTGTGTTCCACAAGACAAGGCCAATACTTTTGTGAAAGGACTGATGAGGTACTTGCAAGTCATTGAAAGTGCTGACACCTTCGTCGAAGGTCCATTGCATGGGCGGCAAGTAAGCTGTGTCAGGGTCTGCTTGGCGGAGGAAATCCAAAAGGTAATCGGCAGTGTCAGAAAAGAGCCAACCCGGTTGAGTATCGAAGAGAGCAAGCCTCTCTGTGACACGTTGGGACGACACAACATAGGGATCCCTCTCAGTGACCGGCAAGGCTGATTGCGGCTGTGTACTGTCAGAAATCGTTCCCCCTCGGGCTCTCTCAGTCGGGAAGCGGTTCTGGATGATCCGAGTCATGAAGTCCAAGTTGATGGCTGAAGCGAACCGCAGCAGTTCGGGATCAGCGGTCTCAAAAAACAGCATGGTCAAGGATCTGGATTCTCTGAATGAGTTCATGACGAGCATGAGTACGGAGAGCAGCAAGGAGGGGCTGCGGCGAGAGGGCAGGCTCAACCTGGAACCGCTGGTACAAAGTCCACAGCAAAGTCCAACCGCACAGGCCAGGGCCAGGCCTAAAGTGGGTAGTGGCAGTGTTGAGTACCACGTCTTGGATTTGAAACAAGACACAGACCGCCGCAACGATGCTCGCAAGGTCAGGCATGATCTCAATGGGACCAATGGTCTGGACAAAGGCCTCCCAATGATGGACAGTGATTTCGCACACAATCCAATGGTCATGCCACAGAATGAACAGGATGATGTTGCTGAAAGTCTCATGCAAGCACTCAAGGCCAGCGAAAAACCTCAAATGTAGGCTCTCAGGGAGCCAAAGTGCAGGAGGGCAAAAGCACACATGCGGAAACTGCCAGCGAAGGGTGTCAAGAGCATGATCAAGTGTATCGGACGATAGCCAACCAGGTTGCGCCAACCCTTCTAAGAGGCGAATATGGACAGAGTCAGTCCGCACAGGTTCAGGCTCAGGTTGATCAGTGGGATCAACTTGGGGAGGAGGATGCTGCTGCTGAGTCGGCTCCGGTGGGAGCGGCACGGTGGCTTCAGTTGGTTCCTCCGGAGGGAGAGCTTGAAACTGAACAAAAAGTGGCACAGGAACGACCGAAGAAGTCTGAGTGGCAGTGGCTGCCAGGCGAGTGAGGAAATTTGTTCGCAGGGTCGTAGCAAAATTCAACAGCTCATCAGAAGCGCCAGCGCGGCGCCAGTCTTCTTGGCCTGCTTCCCAAGCTTCGCGAATCTCGGCTCTTCGAAAGGCAGGGAGCGAGTTGAAGAGATCCATGGTCGACGGAAGGATGTCATGAATCCGGCATAGTCTGTAGTAGCGGAACAACAAGAACCACCCACAAAGGTGCTCTGGAGGCATTCCTGCATGGACATGTTGTTGTGCTCGATGTGGTGCAATTTCGAGAGATCGACACATGATATGGATCGCACGGTCTGCGAGGAGAGGTCCGAGGCCAAAGACATGAAGCTGTGTATGGTGGCCAATGCGGTTGACCTCAATGGCAGCCCAGTGGTTGTCGACCAACACTGCATTGATGGTTCGGCCAGAGGTGGCAAAACGAGGCTCGCCATAGAGTTCGTCATCAAATTCATTCTCCTCAGAGTTCCATCTCAGCAAGTTGAACTCTGCAATATCTTCAGGAAAGTTCCGAGTGAGGTGCATCATGGCTGAATGCATTTCGTCGGAGGCAACCCACCCGTGTGTGTTGATGGCGAATCCAATGCGGTCGGTGAAATGTGCACCACGGCTAAGTGCTTCAGGTCTGCGTGTCCAACGGTGATGTCCACCCGCATGGACGGATGGTGCAGGTTCAATGAGGAACAGGTCCCCGTTGGCTGTATGAAGCGTGTCAGTAGTGCAAGACCTGTTGTTGTGGTTGGAGATGATGTAGGTGCCAGTGGCCGTGACAATGCTGGTGTCTCGGGCAAGCTGTTTGGGAACAACACAGGCACGTACCCAAACTTCAGTCTGCAGCTTCTGAAAAACCACTAGGGCATCATTCGGATGGTCACACAGCCGCACAGTGAAGAGTGGTCCCAGGGCGATCCGTGGAATGCTGAACGGACTTTGGTACACGGTGTACATGTCACTGCCAAAATGAGTGGCGAGCTGTTCTTGCAAATCAGCAGCAGGGACCGTTGAGTCAAGCTCGATGGTGAGGACCCCTGGTGGGTCCTCCCATAGAAGGGAAACACGCTGTTTGGTTCTTGCCTGCTCAGGATGCCACTTGGAGTTGAAGTCCAAGAACTGGAGTAGAGCATGGAACCTTCCAGGAGGAGGTTGCACAGGTGGTACCGGCTCAATGACAAGCTGTCGAGGCAAATCTTCGACTGAGAATGGCAAGGTGGGAGACACGGCTGCATCACACGAAGAGGCAGGACAGACGGACTGTGCCGAAAGCGTGCGAAGCAAAACCAAAGGATGCTGCCAAATGGAACACAAAACCTCAGGCGATCTCGTGAAGGCCTCAACCAAAGGAATGTCTCGAAGAGCTCGCTGATCCTTAGTGCAAAAGCGCAAGGCATCAGGGTTGATCCCTTTCGTGAACATGGTAAGGATGACCGTGGTGGTCAGACTGGCTTTGGGTGGGACTTTGGCTTTCCACACATTAAGCGAGGTGACATGCTCAAGCTCAAGCGACAACATCGGCCCATCAAAGGACATTGGCAAAGTACGAGGTAGCATGGTTGCAGCGATGTCTTCAGCCTTCATGACAGTCAACCATTGATCAAAGACTTGGACAAGGGCTGTCTGACTGGTGAGTCTTTGGTCCCAGGCCTGTCGAACAAGGTGGGCTGGTGCAAAATCAACCGCAAACAAGCTTTGAAGTCCAACGGCCAAACACAAGGTGGCTTGTGACTGTGAGATGGCATTGCCTAAAATGTGGAAGGCAAAAGAAGCATCACTCGGCAACACAATCTTGTCGGTAGTGCCAAACAAAGGAACAAATCTCGTCGGGCACAAAAAGCACACCTTGTCATTGACAATTTGCAAGGAGGCGAAAATGCCTTTAGACATGATGTGATCTACATGAAGCAAATGCTGTCGAGTGTACGAAGAGCACAACGTCGGCAAGGCTTGGTGTGTGTCGGCGAGACGGTGCTTGATTGTCTCCGCTGGATTCAAGTCACTGCTTGACCTGGCTCGCTTGGCTGGCGGGAGCAACCCTGGATTGCCATATTTCTGCAAAGCATCGGCGTCCAATTGGAGTTGGTCGGAAAAGGATTCCGGGGTCCAAAACTCATTCAATGGGTCGTGCCACATGACCAAGGGAGGTGCTCTAAGGTCAAACTTGGTTCCGTGTGGAGCAATGTCCAAATCAGCCCTGGCCCAAACAGCTAACCAGCGAGTGCGATGGTTGTTGGAAAGGGTATGTTGAGACACCACTTGGTCCCAAACCTTCCTGTACCCGATGATGCTTAGCATGCATTCGACCAAGGGGAAGTGATCGTGCGAGATGGTGGTGTCAGCACCTTCGAGGAAAATCAAGAGTGGCTGCTGTATCTCTACAATCTTGGCTGTTTCAGCCATTGCAAAACCTTCACAACAGTTCAAACCAAGTTTTCTGCCACCTTGCGACCACGAAATGCATGGTGGAGAGGCGGTCGTGATGGCGTTCTTCTCAAAAGGCCAGCAGTGGAGTAGCGATGTGTCACCAACACTCGTACAGATGCCTGCCTTCGAGGCAAGATCAATTGGAGTCTTGCTGGTCATCTTGCCGTGATGATGCCTCATGCCAGTTTGGCAAGACCAAACACCCATGATCTTGGGATCATTGTCAATGAACAACTCTGTTGCAACTTCAACCTGATCCAAGGTCTTTGCAAGCCAATGGACAGCACGTGACCATCCGCTGTACGCTCCAGCGAAAAGGTGTAGCAAATGGAAAGGCTCTTCAGGTCGCCAGCACGGGCGGTGCACTATCAGAGTATCATCACCAAATGCCAATGCTTCCCAACTCGCATTATGAGCTTGCGGCCCAAAGCAAACAATGTGGTCGTCCACTTTGAGAGCAATGCTTCGCTTGCTAAGGTCAGGCACCAACAGCCTCATGGCTTTCACTTCAGGATTGGCAGCGGCAAAACCAGAACCTGGGCGAAACTCAAATGGGGAGAGCATGAGGTAGGACTCATAGATCTCTTCAATGCGTCCAGCAATGAGCACCTTGCCATCAACCCTGAGGAGATGGCCTGCAGCTCGGTGCTCAGCCAGAAAATCCCAGAACATCCCCCTCCAGGGCTCAATGAGCAGACGATCGGCCGTCTGCTTCCAGCGGTCAATGGAGGCTGCCATGGCACAAAAGGTCGAGATGTACCACCAAGGTCGCAAGCGGGTCGGTCAGGGACCTTGATGGACACTCGACCTTCACCGGGAGGTGAACAGCCGAGCCGCGGGAACCCGGAGTGCCCTAAGGCAAAGAGCTTTGGGACCAGATGCCTGATTCGGAAATCCTCTTCATATGGAGGGCAAATTCATCAAGGGTCT